GCCAAGCCAGGACGTGGCTGTTGCCAGGAGCCACATGCGGTCTGGCAGCCCTAGAGGCCAGGCCTCTGCCCGTGTGGGAAGGGCTAAGCTGCCACCCTGTAACGAGCTCCCTCCCGCTGCAGCCAGGCAGGTCTGGTCCTAGGAACAGAGGGCCAGATCCTGAGAACCTGTGGGAACAAGCCCTGCGGAGCTTCTGCCTTCCTCTTCCCTTTCCCCAGGCCCTGGCCTCAGTGGGGCCGGGCAGCAACTGGATTACTGGGGGTTTAGGAACACCTGGAAGCAAACGCCAGTGTCCCTGTCCCTCAGTCTTCTGTGAACTTTTTTTCTCACAACAGTGATTTTATTAAATTGGTGGCTTCATAAAATATTGGAGAGGTCATAATTGTGAACGATTTCCCAGGTGCAGTTAAGTGGTGCAGTTTGCTGAGCATGTTTTATAAAGGAAAGGAAATGACAGAACCCTGTAGTCTCAGTATAGACTAGAAGGACAAGACAGGCGGGTAAAACCCGGTAGAATCTTCCTCTCCATCCTGAGGGTCAGTAGGAGAAACAGTGTGAGGAGTCAGAGAGCGAACGTCTCTGCGCTCAGCAGCTTGCAGTTTGTACTTCAGTGACGCAGGGGTTTGTCGTCCTTGGCTCTAAAGTTGGGGGGTTTTGGTCATTTAATTTTTTATATATATATTTTTTTCCTTTTTATTGAGTTTATTGGTACAATCTAGGTAGACAGTACAGTTACATTCATCACTGGGATCCTGTACCTTCACATGACAGGTCTTGGTTCTCATTTTTTCCCCTTGTTGGTCATTTAATTTTAAATATCCTCACTCTGAGAAAAGCAGTCCCCTTCATGATGTGTTTTTATTTTTTTGTTGTTTTGTTTTTGTATTTGGTACTGAGGATCGAACTCAGGGCCTTACACTTACGAGGCAGTTGCGGTGGCCCTGAGCCAGTCCCGGCCCACTCAGCGTTGAGATGCGGCCGGCGTTTGGATCCCAGGTGCTCGCCGCACACCCGTGCTGCACGCTGCCTTTCCTGATGCGGGGCAGGTTAGGGCTCTGTCCCTGGATGGCGGAGGTAAAGTAAACACCACGATATTTTGTCACGTTGCAGTCTTCGTTTCCAGTTTGGTGACTGCTGCTGGGGATCAGTGACAGAATCATTAGATTTGTTTTTAAACTGTGATTTAGTAGCAGTTGAGGTCTCTGATCTAACCCCTTGGCAGCAAGACCCAAGACCCCAGCAGCCTCAGTGTCGAGGGGCCGGATAACCAGCACAGAAGCTGCGGTGCCTCTGCCGGGAGCATGGCTGTCGTCCCCCTTCTCCTTAAGGTCTGGTCGCCATGGTGCTGCTTCCCGCTTTCCGTACTAGGGCTCTGGGGCAGGAGTTCCAGTCCCGGCTGTCTCAGGCTGGGAGTGGGGGCCGTGAAGAGGTAGTGAGGTCTGTCCTGTTAGAGAGCTTCCTGTCTGCTCGGATCAGGTGGACCCTTAGGTGCCCGAGGCTTCGGGTCGGGGGTGTGGTTCAGGGGTGAAGAACTTGCCTGGCACGGGTGATGCCTGGGTTCCATCCCCAGTGCCGCAGCAGCGATACCAGGAAACGTCTGTGGCTGAGGCCGATGCCATCGTTGCCTCCTCATCCTCGATGTGCACGCGCTGCCGCAGGGACGTCCTTCAGCCTTGCTTTGTAAACACGCCTGGCTTTTCTGATAGGCGAAGCAGAACACACCGGGAACATGGATGTGTTCCTGCATCCCGCCAGCTCAGGACGGGCCCTGCATGTTGGAAGTGTTTTCAGTGTCGGGCAAGGAGGTCTTGTGTACCTCTGATGACCTCTAGAGGAACTGGAGGGAGGCCTGGGCACCCACAAGCCACACTGCAGACCTGAGCCGTGCCTTGGGTGCAGGCTTCGTGCCTCCTGGGGAGACCCTGCTCCCAGCCTCCTGCCCCTTCCTCGACAAGGGCACCTTCTTTTCTTTGAGATGTGTTGGGAACCTTCCTGGACTGCATGGGTGCCTTTTCCCAGGCCAGAGGGAAGGCTGAACTGCTGGCAGTGGCTTTAGGCCTATTTTTCTCCAGGATGCCACTGGAGCCACGCAGCAAACCTCTCAGAATGTGGTGGGGTTCGGGGGCGCTCTGGGACACAGAGGTGAGGTGGCACCTCATGGAGGAAGGGGATTGGGTCTCCTGAGGACTGGGCATCCCAGCTGAGATGTCTGTCTTCCTGGCTGGGGCTGAAGGCTGAGCAGGCTAGCGTTCTGAGAATTGAATTGTGCCTGTGCTGGGTTGGCAGGGGTGTGCTGATGCCACTCTGTTTGGGGTTCACCCGAGAACAGGAGTTGGCAAGGCCAAGGTCACGGTTGCTGGCCAACTGGGCTTATTTACACCACCCAGGCTCCTTGCCATTCAGAGCCTGTCTGTCCTGTGGCTGGCAGCACCTTGGCCTGGCTCGGTTCCTGTCCTGAGGGACGTGCAGGCCACAGGAGCCTGAGGCCTCCTCTGTAGAAGTTCCTTCAGTGATTTGCTCATAGCAAGCTCTGCCTGGGAGCCTCAGAGCAGTGCAAGAACAGTTTTAGCAGAGGATTTGGGGAGTCCAGATAGGGCTGGGGAGTGTGGGGGACACAGCTCTGCCTGTGAGAGGCTTGGCATGGCTGTGGTGCCTGCTTGCTGTGGCAGGGCTTTGTGGCCTTGTCCTAGGCAGAGAAGAATCGAGAGTCAGACATTGGCAAAGGTGGTTGTAGTGTGAAGGTTAACGTTTTCGCTTATCATTTATTTTGCTCAATCAGATAGTGTGATGGGTAGGGTGAGGTGGGTGTGTGGTGGGGAGTTAATGTTTAGTCAGGGCCTGGCCAGGATCCCACTCTGTGCCCACTGCCCTCTGGTGCTGGGGGTGGGGGGTGTCAGAAACGCAGCGGCTGCACCAGCCACGCACCCGGGCTCTGGTCCCTCTGCCCCATACCCCAGGATGCCCTTGCCAGGTGTGTTGTCATAAGCAAGGGCGTTCCCACAGCTCACTGCTTCCGGAGGGCCAGGGCTTGGCTTCTGTGCGCCATGCTGTCTGTGCACCGAGCCTGGCCCAAAATGGGCGGCGCTGTGTGTGCACCGCATAACTGATTTGAACAGGCTTAGTGCTAGCATTAAGTGCTTAGATGCTAAGTGCTGATACTAGTGCTTAGAGCAAATACGTTCCTAGCAGGACCTGCGCCCGGCCCTAGTGCAAGCGCTTCCATTCTGCTCAGTCATCCTCTTACCTGGAGCAGGAGCTGGGCTTACCGCAGGCTGTGTGGGGGCTGCACTGCCACCTACTGGCAGGTGGCGCGTATTGCAAAGACTTTTTTTTTTTTTAATAGAAATGAATTTATTCTAGGTGTTGTCTTATTGAAAACAAATAAAAGAGAGGCCAGAAGACTTATTCATATTGTTGATTGACATCTGAGTTTAAAATCTCAAGTCTGCCTTAGCAAGTTTCTTTTCCAAAAATAGGATATGTTTCCAGTTAGATGCGGTTGTATTTATAAAATGACATGATAACTAAGGGACATTTGTCTTATTTCCTCTTACCCACCTAAAGAAAGGTGATGCACACAATTTATGGCCTGTGTCTGTCTGTCCTTTAATAGGTTTGAAGTACTACTTCGTGCTGATTTTTGTTCAACCTGTCTGAGTTACTAAGCGGGCACTTTTAACATTCTGGGTTTTGTTGAAGTTTGTTACAAACAGTACACGCTCACTGCAGATTGTGGGGCCCACAAAGCACGACGCTTCTTCGGGGTCTCAGACCCGGCCCAGCGTCTGGGACAGTCATCGAGTACCTGTCAATGTCTTACACATGCGTGCATAGACGTGTGAAAGATGCACAGTTTTGGAAAACTTTTAGGAAAAAAGACACATAATAGTTTGTCTTTACAAAAGAAGTATTTGTGTTATTCAACTTTACGAGTCTCTGGCAAATGTGTAATAAAATCATAGCTGCTTTTTCCTAATGTGTGTGGTTTCTAGAATGACTCATCTATGGAGAGGATGAAGCCATAGAAAATTTGTAATGTCTCCAATACCAAATTCTTAACAAAGATACGTTTTAGAATTGAATTACCTTCTGACTTTTAAAATTTCTTTTTCCACGAGATAAATTTTTCGATAAATCAGTACTTTTCTTACACGTAGTGTGTAAGCATTGAGGAATTTGGAAATAGAGACACAGATGCAAATGTCCGTGCCCCTAAGCGGAGTGCCCAGTGTTATTTCCTTCCTGCGGGTGTGGCGGCTGCCAGGCCACCCAGGCCACGGATCCTGGGGTGGGTATCTTCCTCCCTGCTGTGGTCCGCACCCACATCCCCCTCATCGTCTTACCTAGAAGCGAGTTTAAAGGAAAACACCGGCCTTGCGCCAGGCTCCCGGCTTTCTTTGTAGCTTAGTGGCGCCTGCTGGCTCCTGGTGCAAGGCTTTACCGAACAGTTGAGATCATCCAGCGTTGGTTTTGGACAAAGGAGGAGTTGGTGAATTTTAACTCAGAAGGCCATGAGTGGGGCTGGGGAGCCTGAGCCTCAGTGCCTCTGACCACCTTCAGGGCTGGCAGTGTGGAGGGCGAGGTGGGCTGCAGGCTGTGCCCTCGCATGTCCCATGGGCTTGGATGCAGACACCGTCTTTTGCTTTTGCAAGTGTTCCTGGTGAGTCCTACTTCCCGACTTGAGGTGGGAGGTTGTGCTCCCCTGGGGTGCCCTGTGTTGTCAGGGTGTCGTTGCCCTGCAGACCATGTCTGGTCCCTCTCCCCATTTGTGGGTGGCTCTGGGGATCCGCTAGCATGCCCATGAGACTGCATGTTGTCAAAGGTGATGGTGGGAGGATGGGATGTATGGGTTTTTCCACCAGAAACCATCGCTTAACGTTCTCCAAAACCACCAGTGTGTTGCTCCCATCTTCCCGGCTTTTCGCAGCACTGAGACACCAGCAGAGGTCCCTGGGAGCGGCCTGTGAGAGCACTGAGTGCCGGTACCCTTCTCCTTGCAGGTCTGGCTGTGGGTCTGGGCTTTGGGGCCCTGGCTGAGGTTGCCAAGAAGAGTCTGCGCCCCGAGAACTCCACAGGTGAGCTGGCCCCGCTGAGAGGTGTGTGGGGCCCAGTCTGGGTCTGTCAGGTCACTGTGGTGCTCCCCACCTCTGACCTGGCCATGCGGGCCTCCTGATCCCCCCGTCCCTGCTGCCACCTAAAGCGAAGCTCTCTTGGGGGCTGAGGGCTCTCCCCAACCCCTGAACCCTGGCTAGTGTCTCTCCACCCGCAGGGCTCTCCCTCTGGGGACAGGACCATCCCCACAGACCTGGAACACCTGGCATGTCCTTGGAAGGAGCTGCAAGACGGGTTTAGCAAGGGTATTTTTAGTCAGTGCTGTGGCATTCTGCTGCTCCAGAGTGAATGGCAGCCTTGCCTGCCCTGTACCTCTCCTCACCCTGGGCCTGGCCACTCTCCTCCCCACCTTGTCCAAGCAGAGCAGAGGCCAGGCTGGCTTCAAGGTTATGGTCGGTGTCCTCAGTGACAGTGATGACCTGAGGCTTGGGATAGAGGGCTTCAGTCCTTAGTCCTGCAGGTTGGGATCCAGGCCAGGGTGGGGTGGCCCTGGGCAGGGCCCACGCTGTGCTCCAGCTGTTGGGCAGGCCTGGGACCCCCTGGACGGGAGGACACTTGAAGGCTGGCTGAGCCCTGACCTTGGAGAATGTCTCTGCCCCAGGGGCCTCTGCCCACCAGGTCATCCTGGCCGATGACCTGCGTCCTGCCTGTGGGGATCACCAGCCCTAGGCCACAGCCGCCTGGGACAGCCCGGCCCGGCCAGGCGCCATCCTCACATCTCAGGAGCCTGAGTCTTGCAGGCTTGCTCTGTATCCTCAGGAGGGAGACCTGACTCCCCAAGCCTCCTCCTTCCTCTGCCTCTCCGCCTGCCCTGAGACCCAGGGCTGGGGAGGAACCAAGGGACACTCGAAGCCCTGTTTCCCTCAGCTCTGCCACTTTCCTGCTGCTTGGGCCATCGGGGTCTCCTGATTGGTACTGCAGTGGGCCCAGCATTGCCTCCCAGCGCCTGCCCTGCCTCGCAGGGCCTGGCCATGAGCCTCACCCTTTTCTGCACACCTGGGTCCACTGAGGCTCCCCTGTGTCCTGGGGCTTTCCAGCCTTATGCCCCCAAGGCAGCCTGCCACTCAGACACATGGCGCATGGTGGTGGTAGGGCCATTTCTCCTCTTCCCTTGCTGAGCACGTGTCCAGTCCTTAGGCCTTGTGTCCCTGAGTCTTTCAGTCCCGACCTGAAGAATGACCTCACCAGGTGCTCTGGCCTTCCAGACCCGTGGTGGTGTAAGCGGAGCGGGCGCCAGGGGCTGTGGAGGCCTTCACGTTTAACTGGATTCATAGGACACAGCAAGAGAGGCCTCAGCTGTCACCAGGCTGGATGCTCAGCCGGAGGAGTGCAGGGGAGCTAAGAGCAGAGGAACCCGGCACCCAGGCCCCTATGGGGCCTCTCCCCATCTCCGCACAGGGTGGACCCTGTTTAGGCAGAGAGGGCCAAGTGTCCTGGTCACGCTGCTGGCTGGCACCAAGGTTGGTTTGGCCTCTTGCAGCTCCTTGGAGACCTTGCCATCATGGTACCTTCCCACTGGGCAAAGGTCACCTGCAGCCTGGGTCACTGCATGGCGAGCTGGCTGCACTGAGCTTCCGGCCTCAGGGGAGGCTGTGTTTGTCCTTGACTCTGGACAGCCTCAGGGGTGCTGTTGACCTTTGTCCTGCACAGTGGGTGGCTGAAGACTGGCAGTCCTCTCCTGGGCACTGCTGACTGGTCCTCAGATTGCCCTGCCGGCAGCTTCATGGTGACCCTGCATCCCCAGGAACTGACAGGAGAGACCCTGTGTATGTAGGGGGCAAGTGCGGCAGGTGTCATTCAGCACCGGGAGGTGGGCATGGGACATGGATTCGGACCTGCACTGCCAGTGTTGGGACAGGTAGGAGTCCATAGATGCCACACGGCACTCCTAGACCCCCACCCAGAACGTGACCCTCCTGCCCCCAGGGAAGAAGGCCGTGCTGGACTCCAGCCCCTTCCTGTCCGAGGCGAATGCAGAGCGTATTGTCCGCACGTTGTGCAAGGTGCGCGGGGCTGCGCTGAAGCTGGGCCAGATGCTGAGCATTCAGGGTGAGTGGCTGCAGGCCGTGGGCGGGAGTGGGTGGTGTGTCATGGACAGGGGTGGACGGGTTCCTGGTGTTTGAGAAACCCAGAGGTCATTGTGTGTCCCAGCAGGCGGTGGGAGTTCATGCAGCCCGTTGTCTGCTGTGTTGGTCACGGGCTGGGGCTGGGGGCCGTGACCCCGGGAAGGAGAGCCGGATGGCAGTGAGGCCGAGGAGGCTGGGGAGAAGGCTTCCTGGGAGGCGCTAGCACAATCCACCTGGAGCAGTGGTGGCGAACCTACGTGCGCGAGCCACAGAGGGCTGTTGGTATCACTGAAAGCTCTAAAGGTTCGCCATCACTGCCCTGGAGGACTCCAGGCGGAGAGAAGCCCAGTGCACAGATCAGGGGAAACGAGTTCTCTGGAGGTGGTCAGGCTACAGGGAATTTCATTTTACTGTCTCTCCTGGATTTCCTTGCAGTTGTGAACGTCCCATGTTAAGTTTAAAAACCTCACTGCTCAGGTCACTGGACTGAGATCAGGGCTCGCCGCAGTGCCAGGTGGCCAAGTGTGTCTAAGGGCTTCCCTGGCCAGGGCTCCTGGGCCAGGCTGAGCCTCCTGGCTGGGGCTCCCAGTGCGGTTGCTGCCCCAGGGTGGCAGAGAGGGCCAAGTGTTTGTCTCTGGACTTGCTTGCTGACCAAGTGTCCTAGGAGCGTGTCCACCACAGAGCAGGGTGGCCCAGTGTCCCTTCCAGAACTGCCGACCACAGCCTTGGTGTGCCTATGCGTACAAGGCAGAGACCGAGGCTGTGCCTGTGCTGTGGCGTCGGGCAGGTCTTGGCTCCCTCCGCTCCCGGGCTCAGGAGGCCTCATGCCCGGTGGTGGCCTTGATTCCGGTCCTCTCTGACTCTGCCCATGCCTTGCAGATGACGCGTTCATCAACCCTCATCTGGCCAAGATCTTCGAGCGGGTGCGGCAGAGTGCGGACTTCATGCCCCTGAAGCAGATGACGGTGAGGGAAAGTGGGGTGGCTGCCTGGCTCCTTCCCTCCGAGGGGCAGACTGGGCACCTCACCGGGGCTTCTCCCACCAGAAAACGCTCAATAACGACCTGGGCCCCAACTGGAGGGACAAACTGGAGTACTTTGAGGAGCGTCCCTTTGCGGCTGCCTCCATCGGGCAGGTGCACTTGGCCCGCATGAAGGGTGGCCGCGAGGTGGCCATGAAGATCCAGGTGGGTGTCCTGTGTCAGGGCCCTGCTGTCCCCGAGGGCAGGGCTGGAACTCCTTGTCTTTCTGCCCTTCGCACCAGCCTGGGCCTGGATGCTCAGGAAGTGCTTGCTAACGGGTGACTGGGGAGCGGAGCAGGCTTCCAGTAAGTGTGGGTCAGGATGGCCAGGGGCAGGGGACAGTGATTGCCTTTCGGACAGCCAGAGGGAGGGTCCCAGTTGCTGACTGCTCTGGAGGAGGGGTGAGCAGAAGGCAGAGAGCAGGCTGTGTCCGGTCACGGTCTGGCTGTCCAGGGTGCAGGGTCTGATTGTGACAAGGCTGGGGTGCTAACAGGTGCGTGGGGGGGACCCATGGGGGCCTTGCCTTGTCTGCCTGGATGACCCCTGTCTCCCACAGTACCCTGGTGTGGCGCAGAGCATCAACAGTGACGTCAACAACCTCATGGCCGTGCTGAACATGAGCAACATGCTCCCAGAAGGTCCGAGCTGTGCTTGGGCCGGCAGGAGGGGTGGCAGGGGCACGGGCTGGGCTGTGGGGATCACAGGGCCCTTGCCCTTCTCGCCTGACCCCCCGCCCCCGCCCCCAGGCCTGTTCCCGGAGCACCTGATCGATGTGCTGAGGCGGGAGCTGGCCCTCGAGTGTGACTACGCGCGTGAGGCCGCCTGTGCCAGGAGGTTCCGGTGCGCTCGCCTCCCCGCACCTGGGGGTCCCCAGGAGGCAGGGCACCTTTTAGGGGGTCTTGGGGGGTGAGGCCCCTCCAGCTAAGGGTGATGGCAGGGCCTCCGCCTGGTGGTGTCCCATGGGGGGCCATGGAGGCAGATATGAGGTGTGACTTCCGGCCCTCCCAGGGAGCTGCTGAAGGACCACCCCTTCTTCTACGTGCCCGAGATTGTGGATGAGCTCTGCAGCCCCCATGTGCTCACCACAGAGCTGGTGTCCGGCTTCCCCCTGGATCAGGCTGAGGGGCTGAGCCAGGAGGTTCGGAATGAGGTGGGTCTGACCTGCTGTCCCTGCCATGCTGGCTGTTGGTTACCTGGCGGAGGTCAGGGTGGAAGCTGGGATTTGGGGGCTTCTCCAGCCGACTTCTGGTCACCAGGCAGCCTTGATACTGCCTGACACCCCCCTCCCCACCATCACAGATCTGCTACAACATCCTGGTCCTTTGTCTGAGGGAGCTGTTTGAGTTCCACTTCATGCAGACAGACCCCAACTGGTCCAACTTCTTCTACGACCCCCAGCAGCACAAGGCCAGTAGTGACCCCAGCCTGTGTTACATGTGGGAAATCCGCAGTGGGCATGGGCTCAGGGACCTCAGAGATTGTTTCCTCTCCTGCTTCAGTGCCTCCAGGGCCAACCTTCCTGTGTATCCATCCCCAGGTGGCTCTTCTGGACTTTGGGGCCACGCGGGAGTATGACAGAACCTTCACTGATCTCTACATTCAGGTGGGGTTGGACGGGCCTGGTTGTGGCTTTTTCTGAGGCTGGGACTGGATGCTGGGGAGGGTGGATGGGGTGGATGCCCTCTGGTTTCGTGCCTGTAGGCATCGTGCTATGAGGACTGAAGCGCTGGCTGTGGCTCCCAGCCAGGGCTTTGTGGAGGCAGAGGAGGAAGGCAAGGTGGGGTGGGCAGGTGACCTCAGGAGCCCCGCTCTGTGCCTCTGCCCAGATCATCAAGGCCGCTGCTGACCGGGACCGTGAGGCTGTGCGCCAGAAGTCCATCGAGATGAAGTTCCTCACTGGCTACGAGGTCAAGGTGAGCGACGCCATCTGAGCTGCGGGGCTGCAACTGCTGCTCCCTCTGAAATCTTCAGTGGAGCTCGGTGTGCAGAGAGATGGGACCTGGGGACAGCCACCTTGTGGGGGACCCTTAGCGGGGCAGGCCAGGGACCTAGCAGATGTGCAGGAGGGTGGCCCTGGCCCTGTAATACGGGGGCGTGGGCTGGAGCCCCTTACCCCGAAGTCACACAGCAAGCAGCACTCTCCTTGGTGCTGGGGACGGGCACATTGATCAGGCGCAGTCCTGAGTCCCTGCCTGGACAGACAGGACAGTGTCGTGCTGTTGACCAGCCTTCGGGAACAGCAGCTCATTCTTCCTCTCGCAGCGTGGCTGTCCCTCACCACCTCGGCCATCCATGATGTGTTCCTGTCCCGTCCCTTGCTCTGCCACGCTGCTCCTCCCATGTGCCTGTGCAGGACATGGTGTGGAGCCTGCACTGATCACCACCCCAGCACAGGGCCAGGCCTGCAGACTTGGGGTCTGTTCTTTTTGCCAGAGAAGTGTTTCGAGTGCAGCTTCTTTCTGCTGCAGGCCCATCATGCCCTTTCATCTTGCATCAGGGTCACCGCAGTTGGAGTTTCAGTTAACAAAACCCTCTCCTGGGGTCCCCTCCGCTCCCCCCAGCTCTTAGGAGAGCACTGGGCGAGGGACTCCTGCATCCTATTGCCACTTTCCTTCCTCTCCCCAGGCCATGGAAGATGCCCACTTGGATGCCATCCTTATCCTGGGTGAGGCCTTCGCTTCTGAGGAGCCCTTTGATTTTGGCACGCAGAGCACCACAGAGAAGATCCACAACCTGATCCCTGTCATGCTAAAGCACCGCCTCATCCCGCCGCCCGAGGAGACCTACTCCCTGCACCGGAAGATGGGTGGCTCCTTCCTCATCTGCTCCAAGCTCAAGGCCCGCTTTCCCTGCAAGGCCATGTTCGAGGAGGCCTACAGCAACTACTGCCGGATGCAGGCCAAGCAGCAGTAGCCCCGGGCTAACCCCAGGTGGCCCCACCAGGTGGCAGCGGCAACCTCTTCCTCAACTCCTTGCCAGCCCACAAGGATCCCTGCAGTGCTTTACATGGTTTTCATGCTAAGTGGGTGAGGGAGAGAGCCATTTTAGCCTCCACCTCTTTTTTCCTGATGTGAATGTCATCCGGAAATGAAGGGGCACCTCCTTCCGGCCCCTGCTGCCGAACAGCTTCTGGCTACCTTCTGCACATGAGGCTGGGAGTTTGAGAGTGAGGTTTGTTTCTGCTCCTGTGGTGTGGAGCTGGGAGCACAGTGCCAACGAGTGCGGTCACCTGCTCAGCCAGGCCTCTTGGCCGCTGCCATCCTGTTAGGGACAGCTTGACCCGTCAGGACCTGCGTCTTCACAGGGAGGGCGGATGGGAGCGGGGAGGGAGACGGTGCTGGCTGTCACGTACGCCAGAGGGTCAGCACAGGTGCTGTGAACTTTTGTACAAGTCTTGTAATTATCAGATTTACTTGTTTCAGTTCAATTAAAAAAAAGTGCTGTGGAAAGTTCCGTGGGGCTGTACCCCTTTGATGACTCCAAGGCTTTGAGGCACGGCAGTGGCCCCCCTTTCTAGAGGCAGTGGCCCTTTCCCTGCATGGTTTGCCTGCCCCTGGGTACTGCTGGTATGAGGTGCTGAGGACTGAGTGGGCAGGCTCAGCCCCATGTCACTGCCAAAGCCACTGGGCAGGCCTGCTGGTTGGTGCTGGGCTGAGTCACAGCAAAACCCACTTGAGAGGAGGCCGGGGATTTGGCTCAGTGGCTCCACCACCTGCCTTGCAAGTTCAAGCTCCTGAGTTCGATCGCTGGTACCAAAAACAAAAACCCACTTGAGAGCTAGCACAGGTGAGGGACACTCCTGAAAAGTAGCTTTCTCAGAGAATGATTTGTGGTTAATGATCATCTGCCTGTCTGGCAGGGACCTTTCCAGATCCATGAGCACCGGCAAAGAGCATGAGAGGTGACCTCGGGGCTCCACAGTAGGCCACTCTCGGGTATGAAGGGCCTTGGAAGAAAGCTGACTTCCTGAGATTTGAGACTGACAAGTCTTGGCCATGCTGGGCTCTGGGAAGAATGGGGAAGTCTGGCTGGTCCCAGCTTGGCCCTTTAGGGACATGGTCCTCAGACTGTCTGCAGGCTGCTCTCTGGCATCCTGTGGCCCCTGCTCAGACCCAGAGAAGCCAAATGTAGAATCCACAGGTTCCCCTGCCGGGGTCCTTACAGCCCCTAACAAATGAGGCTGCAGTACGAAGAGGATGGATGGGGGCAGAGACAACAGCAAGAACCACTGACCAAGACTGTCGGGAGAAGTTTTTGTGCGCACAGGTCTGAGACCAGCTGTGACTGGTAACTCCCGGTCGAGAAGAGTGCAAAGCACCAGCTGTGTGAATAATGGAGCAGGAGCAAACTGTCGTGAACCTGGGCACACACGGTCTGCTTATCTGTTTGTCTTTTATAGTATTAAGGTACTGAATGACGGTGGCCTCCATTCACAGTGAAAGAATGTGACCGTCCGGAACTTTGTCTCCATATCCCTAACATCTAGTGACCAGGTCATGTGCCACAGCATGGACTTAAGAGTATTTGCCACTGTTGGGCTTGGTGGTCGAGTGACAACACAGATGTTGCTCTTGGGACTGGCACATTCATGCTCCTGGCACTCGGGGCGTCATGGAGAACTCAGGCTCACTACCAGATAGCAGTGAGTGGTGAATCGGGATGTGGAAGAAGACCGGCTGGTCTTAGTCCCTGCTGTCCACACCAAGGCCCGGCAAGCTCCTGTCCACAGGCCAAACTGGGTCCTCTGCACGTCTGAGGAAAGGTTTCATTGGAGCACAACCACCACTCCCTCACTGCCGTCTGTTTTGCACCCTAGGGCAGAAGTGAAAAGCTGCAAAGATGAGCGTGTTACTGACCGGCCCTTCGTGGGGAGTTTGCCAAGCCTTGGTCGCCACCACACAACTGTGGCCTGAGCACAGCAGCACCTGTCAGTCAGAGGGTGAGGGAGACAGGTTTCTTGGCTGGGCCACAGTTCGGGATTTCTCTGAGTACCACTCCTAAAAGGAGGCCTCACCCCCCACTCCAAGTGGCTGCTTGTTCTGCCTGCATATCCCATGGTTTGGGGCCTCCTGAAACTTGTGCAGGGGCAGTGAGGCCTTGCAGACTGCCGAATGGAATCAGAAGTTCAGACCAGAGGGAACCACAAGCTTCAAGGGAGTTTAACATTATTTTAACGGGAGCTCTGAGGGCAACTGAGAGGCCCAGATCAAACCACAAGGGGCAGATAAACCTGCAGCCTCAGGAGTGTGAGGGAGGCCTTGCTGGCGAAGGGCCAAATAAGATTGAGTTGGACACCTTTCTCCACCACGGGGAAAGAAAAAGACAAAATACTCAGTTCCAACAGCTCCCTGTTTTATTGCAGTACATCAAAGTCTGGTTAATATTAAGTGATACCAACATAAAATAATTGGTGAGGAGTCTTGTTAACATTTTTGACTATCCCACCTTAAATATTTCTGTGCAAAAGAGTCCACATCATTGTTTGGTAGCAGAGAATCTCAATAAAGTTCCCTAAGACATGGAGGGCATAAAACCAAATAAAATAAGTGATAAAGAGCCACAGCATATCTTTTCCCCTTCCATACACACATACTGGTCAGCATTATATTCTAAACAAAAATGATTACACCCAGGCCATGCAAAACTGTACAATAATATTACAATGAGAAAAAACCCTAAAAAATTTATAAAATAAATGATATACTATCAAATAAAAAGGCAGGTCATTTTGTTATCATGAGACATCAAGGTTGATTTGTGGTGGTCAGTGTCCCCGGTAACTGCAGTGCCCATGTGGCATGGTGGTCGCCTCTGGGAAGGCAGAGGTGCCCAGCTCTGCAGGAGCGGGGCCCTCCTTACCTGGCAGCCTCCACAGAGAGCTCTGGACTAGAAGAACAAGTGAAGTCCTAACAAGGAGAGGTGGTGCAGCTCCTTCTCTACATGCCCATCTGCCTACTGGGCCATGGCTCCCTGACCCCCAGTGGGCACCAGGCTGCTCTGTACAGGGTGGGAGTTGGGCTGTGCTGGGCTGCACCACTGGAACAGGGTGTGGTCACTGCTGCCTCGGGTTGGGACGCCTGCTCACCCTACTCTGACTTCTACTTAATGATACCTGAGATTCCACACAAACCAACTGGTCCTCAGAAACGGATTGGCCACTAAGTAACGAAATAACACAGTTCTAACTATTATGGAAGGAGAGCGAGGCTGAGCCAGCTGGGAAATGCCAGACTGCTGCTGTAAACATGACAGGAATTTCGGATTCTCCCCTGAAACTTGGGTACAGGGACTGGGTGGGAAACCAAACAGATGGGCCTCTTCAGTGGTAGCTCACCACCGGAAAGCTGCACTCCCTAGCAAAGAACGCAAGCTGCTAAGCGTCCAGGGTGCCATATGCATATAGAGCTAAAGAAGTGAAATCGGCTTCGGCAATCATTTGATGAGGAGGAAGGCTTTTGTTTTGGCAAAAAAAATATTTATGCATAAAGTTTATACACCCAAAAATCATATGACGAGATAGCCAGAATCCAAGAGTAGGTAACAAATTGGTTGGACGTAGCACCAAATTTCAACACATAGACTATGCCAGCAGTGTGTCTGAATGCATTTTCTTTGAGAAATTAATTCCTGTTGCCATACACATTTTAAAAAATGTCCTGCATTAAAACAAACAAAAACTTCAGGCAGCAATAGCATACCCTGTGATCTTTGTTACCTCTCTGAACCGTCCTTACATTTTCACATTCTTGGAATCTCTTCTCCATCTTTCAGAAACTTCTGAAGATAAATGGCCTCAGATTTAAGTGTGGGATAAGCCCAGCAGGATGATCATCACCTTGGGAAAATCTCCAAGAACTATTCCCTTGGCGGTTTCTCCCTGCATTCAGTCTGCTCAGGCTTGCAGTGGGAAATCAGAGTCCTGTGTGCCAGCCATGGGCTGCTCCTTCATATCTGCCCTGGGAGGTGCAGGACTCACTGTGCTGGAGTAGCACCTACACTTTAGGTAGGATTGTACTTTAATTCTAAAAGTACCCTCTGAAAAATAAGCACCTATAGGCAACAAAAACCTCATAATTAGTTGTTAGAACTACAGACTCATGGCTTAGTGTAGAGACCTGTCGTTCTTGGCCTGGGAAGAGAAGGGACAGAAGCAGAGGTGAAAGCAGAGGGCAGGGCAGGGCAGATGAGGCCGGCGGCAGGGTGTGGCGCTGGGCTGGCTGATGTCTGCCAAGTTTAAGTGGCTGCCAGTCATATGGCAAAAACCAAACTCAAGGTCTGACCCCCCTGATATTCGGGTGTATAAAAGTATTTTGTATGACACTTCTTTTCCAAAACCAAAAAGATTTGGTAGATTAGAGCTACACTGTGAACTATGACCATTCAGAATAAAATATAAAACCTGAGCCAGCAACGAATCCAGAATGTTGTGTCAAAGTGGCTAAAGCTCATGGCTAGAAGTGCTGGGCGTATAATACCCCGAAAGGACCCTCTCCCTCCACTGCTGAACCTCAGGGACCTTCTCTATAAGTAGCACGCACTTGGGGTGCCCAAGCCCTGCCACGAACTTTCAGGCAAAGGACGAGAAGCGCGAGACTGGCGATGATGAGGCAGGGCTCAGACACCGCAAACCAGTTAGCAACTGCAGGAGGATCTTCTTCATTTAAGCCAGATTTTTAAGAAGAGGAGAAAGGTCTGCTCCTATTTCCTCCCAAAACTTGGGTGAAAAGAGGCAGATTCTCTTCCATCAGGTATTTTTATCTCTTTCTCTGCTCGTGTGCTTAAATGGTGAAACGACTGTAGCAGTAAGTTCTTTTGGTTCTGCACCTCACTTCCTGATGGCAAACAACAGGAGGAATCCAAATGGAAAAACATCTAACAAGGCAATACTGCAACCAGAGGGCAATCTGTCAAACTGGCCATGCTGGGTCCCTTCCCGCCTGTGCCTGGGGATCTTCCCATCCACTTCCCACTGCTGTGGGGAAGAATATTTGGTTAAGGCTGTTTAAGTCCTTGCTTCTGAGTTTCTTATCATTTGGTACTAAAGCCTCTTCCCCTAGGCCTATCTGAGGAATTCCACACCCACCCTCAAGGAAACAGGCTCTCCTCCAGTAGCCATCGCCAGCCCAGGGACAGACACTTCGCTGTAACCTAGGAGAAAAAGCACTTTAATGAACCTTTTCAATGAACTTTTAGAAGCCACAACACTCGCTGTAGAAGATACCAAAATACAATAAAAGTGTAGTTTGAATTCTATCACTAGAAAAAGAAACGGGTAGAGGTGTGTGTGCCTTTGAAGCTGCCACTTAGGTGGTTTCAAATGTTCCCACGCTGGTGGCCCAGGCTGTGATCAATGAAGCCAGTGTCTTGGATGCACCCCAAGGGCCCCAGATGATCAAGACCGGACACCGGTGCAGGACAGACATCACAGGGACCTTGCTTTCCCCCTCTCCCTCTACCAATGTCAGCATGAAGCCTTTCTACCCTGTACGTGACTTAGCTGGGAAACAGACAAGAAACAACACATCTCTTAAATTAAACGCTCTCTCTCATATATGCATCCATCTCATTGATTACAAGATGCTTCTTTTGACTATATACATTCAGTATTTAACTTCTACATTTAGGTATTTATTTAAACTCTGTACTGTAGTAAAATATGCATTGTTTTAATTTGTGAGGATTAGTGGGGATTTCCAGCAACATCAGCAGCAGCGCACGGTGGCCTCTGCAGTTGAGTCCCTGCTTACACTGAGGGTACAGTGAGGGGCTACTGTGAAACAAACCTGTCTAGTCTCACTCGTACAATTATACTCGTGTAGTCTGACTACCGAAGCTACTTTTGGGGCGGGGGTGTAAATGTTACTGAAAGCAACTCTACGCAGGAATGAACCGCCGTGGACCTCAGCCAGCAGGGGAAGTGGCCTGTGCGACTGCTGCCAGCCAGGGCCACGCGGCTGCCAGGCAACGCGCTCCCTATCCTGCCGCTGCTGCTGGGTTCTGGCCGGCCGAGGTGGAGGAGGAGATGGAAGTCGGGGAGAGGCAGTGGAGGGGCTTGGGCATTAGTGCCCTGGGTTCACGGGTCCCAGCTACCGTGGTCAGTGCTCTCCAGAGAGAGGCTCTTGGTCTTTCGGGGTGAAACTGGGCTTGGGGGGCTGCTCAGGTTGGAGCTGTTGGATGCTGTGGAATGCCTTGGAGAATCGGAGTCCTGTAAGGCCAGAAGCAGAGCATCAGTGAGGAGCAGGGTGGGGGTGCTCAGGCCTCCACCTGCCCCCCTTACCAAAGGGCCTATGGGCTGCTTCTGTGTCCCCTCACCCCTGGGCCTTTTCACGTTGAGCTATCAAAATATTTTCTATGTATTTTTGGGACAGGGTCTTGCTACATGGTCCAGACTGACCTTGAATTCACCATGTAGCCCAGGCAATCTCCCAGCCTCAGCCTCCCAAAGGCTGGGATTACAAGCGTGTGCCGCCACGCCTGGCCAGAGTATTTTTTGAGACAGGGTCTCACTATGTTGCTAAGGTGACTCCCAGAGTGTGGGGCTTTTTTGTGAGCTAAGAGGCCCAAAACAAATGCTCTGTTCTTTCTGCAGTCTATAGGGATGCAGGGGTTTTCAAAAGCCACTGAAGTCTGAATAGTTCCAGGAAAGCTGCAGTTTACAACTCTGGTGCCCTGGCTGAGGAAATGCAGTGAAGCGGGCAGGTGAGTGGGTAAAAACGGCTCCTTCTCATGAGGGCCACTTACCTCTCCGTCATAGTCCCTGGCAGGGGCATCACTTCCTTGGTCCATGCCTCCGGAGGACAGGGAGCCCTCTGACGGGGAAGGCATAGGCTGCCGCTTCGCACTGTAGCTTCCTCCAGAGAGCTCCCTCTTTAACGCACTGCCGTTCTGTGCGGATGACCCTGCGGGACACCATCAGGAAAACTTCAGGTATGCACAGAGGACAGGCCTACAGGAAGTGGCCAGCCGAGGAGAGGACAGCTCACCCTCCCCACAACCAAGTCCCCCTCCTCTGATGAACAGTAGTCCACCTGCAGTAGCCTGGCCTCCAGCTCCACCCTGAATCTAGCCGCCTCGCATGGCCGCTCCTGTCACATTCCAGCCGAGGGCCATTCTCGTGGGCGCACAGGGCTATCCCCAGGACAATAATCACAGACTCTTTCCTGCCCCAGGGCTGCCTCCTAAGCCTTTTGGCCCCCTCGTGGCTCTCCTGGTGCAGTCTCATAATCCAGAGCTTGTCACTCTAAGAGAGCGGAGTCTGCCGCTCCCGGCCTCGCCCAGAACATAGCCGAATGTGGAAGCCGGGACATCCACAGCGAAGGCTTGTGCCAATCAACGTGAGATTAGCACTTGACTACACACACGGGAACATAAAACAAGCACTTTCACCCCACGGGACAAAAAGCCTGGGGTTTCAAAATGAGGTTGAGTTTCTTCAAAATCATACTCTTCTTGATCCTAAGAGGTGGTGTACAAAGGGGGACCAAAGGCATTCATGAAAGAAAAGAAATAATCCTTGGAAATTTGGGGAGTATGGTTAGCACTTAAAGCTCTTGGAATTGCCTGCTATATAGGACTCACATGTATAAATACCGAATAGTTTCTCTGGTGTGAAAACTGAAAGTGTAAATAAGGTTCAAATTGTATAAATGATAAAGTGAAATAGGAAGAAAAGGGCTAAAGGAGTAGGGGAAGTGGGAGGGGTAGGGGAGAGGAAAGAAGGGAGAAGAAAATACGAGAATAGTGAAATAGGAAGAAAAGGGCTAAAGGAGTAGGGGAAGTGGGAGGGGTAGGGGAGAGGAAAGAAGGGAGAAGAAAAAATACGAGAAAAGGAAAAAATGGAAACAAAGTCTTTGTAAATAGGGAAGGGAGGAGGGGGTGAAGGGAAGCAGGGGTATGGGGGAAAAAAGAACCAAGATACATCAAGTAAAGGTACAAGATCTCAATGATGAATGCAACTGTACTGTGTACCTAAAAAAATACCAATAAACTTAATGAAAAAAAAATCCATACTATTCTTTAGGTTTTCCTTAAATAATGTTTTAATCTTGCTGAGCTTAAATATTAGAACTACTGGTCCCAAAAGACTATGTTGAAATTTTAGTACAACTTTAAGATATAGGGTGTCATTGTTTGAGCTTCTTGCTGATTTAAAACTGTTATTGTAATACATTAAGAACTCAATGAAAATGTCAACAGGTGACCTCTTACAGCAGATGTACCTAATGACCAGCGACCTGCTGGGTGCTCACAAAGGCCCACTGGAGTCTGCTGACAGGCTGTGTCCTTGCTAACTCCCACTGCAACCTCCCCTGCCAGGCCTCCTTAGTAAGAGCGTTGGGCAGGCGGCATCAGAGAAAGACCTGCATTTTCCTGACACCATAGCTGTCTTCTCACAGAGGTCATCGATGCTACCAAGGCTGGCTGTACGTATTATTATGGTGCTTTAAAAATACCAGCACCTGGACCCTGGCCCGAAGCAACTGGAGCACTCTCCCAGTGGAGCTTTAAAAGCTTCCTGGATGGGGTAGAAGGGCTGAGAGGCTCTGTCCCACACCCGCCCAGCCAGCCCTAGGACTCGCTGCCCTCACTAAGCACTGCTCTTTGCTTGGTGCTGCTCTTCGGAAATGTACTCTTTACTCTTCTTTTTTTTGTATCAGGGATCAAACTCAGGACCTTCAGCTTGCAAGGCCAGCAGCGACACCACTGAGCCACATCCCTGGCCCTTCATTCTTTGTGATGTGGATTTTCTTCCTTAGAGTATAATCTAGTTGAAGGCATTGTCATTTGCGTTTTATTTTTCTTCTAATTTCATGTTTGCTTCAGTGCTCAGTTTTAAAAAAAGTTACAGAAGCTGTTTTTTTATTTTGTTCTCAATAGAAAATACAAACTGCCAGAGATTTCTGGGGCTCTCCTTAACCAGAGTGTGACCTCAGGCAAGTTGTTTTACCTTTCTGAATTTCAGTTTTCCTTACCGATAAATAAAAAATTCTACCTTAAAGGATTTTTGTGGGAACAACAGAACAGTCACTAGATGCAGAATGAAATGCAAGACAGGAGAGAAGGAGCCTGCACCATGCTTTGGGTATGGGTTCACTTGTCTCCTCCTTCCTAGTAATCATTTGTAGAAAAAAGCTGGATCCCACCTCAGTGCTTTAAACACACACACACACACACACACACACACACACACTCACTTTAAAACTTTCAGACTCTTCTCAAAGAAGTTATACTCACTCAAATCTTAAAAGAAAGGAAAAATAACAGCTGGGCATGGTGGCACACCTGTGATCTCAGCACTCGGGAGGCTGAGGCAGAAGGATCACCATGAGTCTGAGGCCAGTCTGGGCTACCTGGTGAATTCAAGGCCAGAGTGAACTACATAACAAGTAGTTCAAAAAGCCAAAAAGCAACAGTGACAACAACATCAAAAGTTGGGCTGTCTTGGTATAACAAAAAGGCTGGAAGCAATCCGGAAAGTGTAGGCCCAATTGACTCTAACACCCTCAGCCCAGCCTCTGCAACCCAGCTGCACCTCACAAAGCCTGGCTGTGGAAGGTACCCATGGGAGGCACTGTGGAGACAACCACGTTCCCCCATTGCTTCCCGTCCCTAACTTGGCTGGCCATCTTGGAAACATTTTACAGGAGCAGGCCTCCTCTTGAAGCCAGTATGAGTCACTCTAATAGCAGAAGCCCCATGGAATTCCAGAGATGGCATTTCCTGGTATCTCTCCAAAAAGCTTCTAACGAGGATTAAGGCATGAAGGGCCCTGATGGCACAAGAGGCTCACTCTCGCCTGCAGTTTCCATGTTAACAGTTGTGATCTGTGCTTCTCATTCAGCCCCTCTGAGAACGCTGTGTAACAGGTCTTAGCTTTTCTTTTTTTCTCATTAAGTTTACTGGTATACAAGATGATGGGGAGGAAATAATAGGCCTTATCTTTATCAGAAGTTCCACAATTCCCCAAACCCTGCAACACCAAAAGTTTTTAAAAAAAATTTGATCCAAACCCACCTAATAGCACAGCCTCATCTGAACTGGCTGGAGGACAATTATAGGTTTTATTTATAAAGACTGTACATTATCTTTTATCACATGGGTAGTCAGTATTCTGCTCTATAAATATTAATGTGCTTATTGGTACTATCCCAGATCTTTCCAGGAATACAATATAACATATGGCATACTCCTTTTTAAAATACATTAAAAAAGGAATCTTAATTCTGGATGGGAGAGAGAGGAGGAGCTGGCTCCATCGTGTAACTATTAATGTTGAGGTACTTGCTGTGCATTGCAAGTTTAGCTACAGTTTAACTTCACCACAAGTACAAAGGCAATGCATGTCACAATATTTCCAAACGTATTTTTCAATGCAGTAAGCATTATAAACTGGTTCCAGATGACCTAGGGAGACAATGGCAAGAAAGTTGCATCTCGTACACTTGAATTTCTGTGTGTCAGCTGAAGACTCCTTCAAAGCCCACTCCTGTACTCCTGGCCAGTGTCCCAAATGGTCACCTTCTCTCGACAGTCACACATTTATGCAGCACAACCATGCGTCACAAAATGGAAATTCAGTCAACAAGGGACCAACTACATGTACAATGATGGTCTCACGCCATATTAGTTTGTGTAAGGACAGTGTGTGATGCCTGCCCAACCAGGAGATCATCCCAAGTCATGTTTCTCAGAATGTGTCCCTGTCATTAGTGATACTGTCCACCATCCCTGAGATGAGGTTGTAAAACTGCTGCTTCTGCCTGTCCCTCTGATCACTTGCTGTGGGGAAAACCAGGCAGTGTCACAAGAACACTCAGGCAGTGGGGAGAAACAGCCTGTGGGCTGCCCCAGGCCATGTGAGTGAGCAGGAAGTAGTTTCTTCAGGCACAGTGGAGCCCTGGGTTGTGGGCTGACAGTGTGAGTACAATTTCACGACAGGCCCTGAGCCAGAACCATCCTGACCCTCAGAAACCATGTGAGATAATAAATGTTCGCTGCCTAAGCTTTTACGCTGTGGGGCAATTTGCTATGCAGCCAGAATTGGCAGTATCATCTTTGTATCGCCTAAACCAGAAAGAATTATCTGAGCACAATACAGATGGTAAAATCAATGGCTGCTAAATGAACAAAAACAAATGTGTCAAGATACCTGGACTCAGTGCCTAACATTCAGGAATATAGGCAGTACATAAATTTGGCATAGTGTAATTAGCTTTTCTCAGAGATCAACTTTTCAGAAGCACAGAAAGGTTTCACTGAAGTCACATCGGACATGCATGGGCACTGCATGTCTGTGGGCACTCATGAGCTGTGCTCCCTTGGGTCTCTCAGCAATGCCATGCTACTGGGGAAGCACACACCCAAGAAAGTTACAGAAAAGAAACCCTTTGGCTAAGAACAATTTTCCCCCAGCCAGAAGCTACAGGATCATTTCATGGTTCACACTCTCACTGCTGACATCCATGATCTACAAAAGATCACAGTGAACTAGAGATGTGTGATTCCTCACTCTGGAGGAAGCAACTGTTAGAACCCTTGTGTACTTTTATTCAGGAGACCGCATCTTTCCTAGGCTTCCTTCTTCCCCCTTCAAAAAGTTGTTCCTGAGCACAGCCAAATATCAGCACATCATGGAGAACATTTTCTCCCCTCTATTTTATCTCTTAGCTCAGGGTTCTGTACAAAGGCATATGAGAGAGGTGCTGCAGTTCAGAGTAGATTGAAAAAAAGGAGAGGCTAAAAATAAAGATTGTGAAGCATTTGAAAGTAGGTTCCAGGCACCTATCAGAGCAGTTGGTGTCTATAAGGGCCGCTAAGATATTTACTTGATGAACAGTGGTATCTTGCTTTCATAGTAAAAGAGTATATTCTTGTATCTGTCCCTGCTCCTTTTCAGTTCATCAAATGTGCTGATTTTGTCCTACCTTGGACCTCTGTGTGTTCCTGGAATGCCTTGCCCCAGCCCTGGCTTGAACCTCTGAAGATGGGAGGCAATGGTATCACCTATGGCCATCTTTACTTTTCCTTTTTCCTTCCTCGTAACTGATCATCAAGCCTTATTGTTTCCACCTCTGAAAACATCTGGAGAATCCATTGCCTTCTCTCTGAGCTTTTCTCCTTCCTGCCCTGCTGTACTCCAAGCCTCCTAAGCTTTCCCCTGGGCAAGTCCCAGAGCCTGCTGTCTGGATGCTGGCGTCCACCCATGCCTGCCTTCAACCCACTCTCCACTTGGCAGCCAGAAAAATCATCACAAATGTAAACTGTGTAAGGTTCTCCACTACTTAAAATTCTCCAAAGGCTTCTTGCTAAATTTTGATTAAAATTAAACATTCTTGCTTCAGTTTCCAAGTCCCTGTCAATAGGGCACTTGCCTACCTCTCCTGCTCTTATTTTTTGTCACTCTTTCCACTACCATGTAGCCACATGGCCCTTTCTCAGCTAACTGATATGACTCAAACATGATGCCACCTGTTGAAAGTGGCACGATTTTCCTAGTTATCCTAAGTACAAGTTCATCCCTGAAAGCTATCCCTCCTTATGCCTAGTCCATAAAGCATTTACCGGCATAATTGGCAGCTGTATCAGTCTATACAGAGGGCCTGCACACTAGATTAAGGACTCTAGAGTTGTTTTCTTAACAACTGCACTTGTGACCCAGCAGGGTCTAAGACACTGCTGAAGGTGAAAGACACTGTTGCCATGAATATGGAACAAGAATGCACTGAGCACGTGTGAGAGCATGTCACTTGTGGGACTTGCAGGGCAGGAGGTGGCTGGAACTCCTGGCTTAGAAGCACCTCACTTACTTGCTGACAGGCCGCTGCTGGCACTCATGGAGCGGCCTGGCTCCGGGCGGGACTTGGTGATGGATGGAATACTGACCGAGCCACTGAATACTGTCCGGCTTTCCTGAGGACGAGGGTTCTAAATCACAAAAGAAAGGTACATTCTTCAGCCAGAAAGAAACTCTTTTTTGGCACAGATGTCTACTTTTCATGATAACTATCAAGATATAAAATGATCTTGACCAGGATATTAAGGAAAAACAGATCTCACAATCCCTCCCATACATAGAGTTAAAAAAACTCTAAAATGAAATAAATTTCATCCAATAAGAATTAAGAAATTCTCTTTATTGAAATACTTATCAATAAACAGTATTGTGATTGTGAGAATGGTAAGTAAAATTACGTAGTTAGATGTCACAGTGAAGTGTAGAATTACGTGGACTTTGCAGCAAAGAAAAATAAAGCTCTCACTACGTATGAGATTTTTTTTACTTGCTTTACTTGCTCATAAAAGTTTAGTAAGTTCATTTGGAAGAATTACATTCTTGCCAAGACAATACTTTACTGTGTCAGAAACATGATGTTGCAGCAATCACCTTGGGTGACATTCTGTAAGTAGTGATTATTGGTTTGAAGACTTCCCTTTTGGTCCCAAGTTTTTCAGACTAAAAGGAGATGTCAGGCCTGACAAAGTCCAGAAGAGGAAAAAGTATTCCAATATTCTTTATAAATCCTAGAGTAGGCAAACTACACATACCATATTGTTAATATCTTTTTTACCTTTCACAATGCTTTCTCTACTTGTGGACATAGTTCCAAATTCCTACAAGCATTTTCAATGCAAAGGGTCTTGACTGCTTAGTAATTATTAATGCATGGAATACATATATAAATAGCGATAACTCCGTCCATGAAGGCTTTGTTTGTGAACAATTTTGTTTGCAAACAGAAGTGCTTAGCAAATTTTGTTTTTGTTTGCAAACTCTGCATCGGGAGATGAATACAACTGTGGCCATCTTTTCTGCACAAACATGAATATGGCTGTCTTTTTTTCCCAGAATTGTGGAATGCATTAAGTTCACCAACTAAGGTACATGTATACCTACACACACACACACACACACACACATAGTGTTTATAGATGTATATAGATATCTATATATAGGTCTTTATACACAGAAAATTTCTAACTCCTTATTAGTTTGTCCCTAATAATTACAACAAAAATAATGGTGATTTTACTAACCTACAGTACCTATTTTCTTACAGTCCACCCTCTCCATCACTGAGACAGGGAAACAGCTGGTAGTTGGAAAGCAAGGTGGAGAAGGAAGCACACATATTCACATCTGTGGTGCAGGCCCTGGGCTGATACAACTCCAAGCCTCAGTTTCCTCGACTGTACCTGGGGATGAAACCTGCTGCGTGGAGCTTTTCTGAGGATCACACTGCTTATACCAGTGAAAGGAGAGCAACTGGTGCAGCCTGCCCAAGTGCAGCTCCTCCACTCACTCCACTAAGTCCCTCATATGCCATCTGCAGCATTGTTTTCACCCCAACAGCCTCATCAAAACAGCAATTTTGCTGCAGGGGGCAGCCACAAATTTCACATGTATTAAGCAATAACCTAACTCTACAATACAAATAGATACATTAAAAAGTAGCCAAAATTCAAGTTCTGTGACTTTTCCAAAGGATCAAGCTATTAAGTAAAGCCAATTATTTTAATGGAATCAGGATATACATGCTACTTTCTTTTGAGGAGATGGCCTCCCTTTATTGTTTTACACTTAAAAAAAAAATCACATGACAATCGTGGCCACTATGATTAATAAAAAGTGACTGGAAAATATATTTATGAATTAGTGGTTTTCTAAGTACTTACATCATCAGAAGTGTTTGCTCTTTCCTAGTTGTAAAGGTAATATTCATGGATTGTACAGTATACGTATAATAATGAAATAATAAAAGAAATAAAAAATGCCTCATGGGAATTCACCAGATACTATCAATTTGGTGTGAATCCTCTTTTCTTCCAATGAATTTTTAAAGAGCTGGCCACACTATATCATGCTTTTTTCAAATTCAACAAAACACAAAGCTAAATATTTTAAAATGTTACAATTGTCTGCCTCATTTTACTGTATCAAAAGCAGTAAATCTCTAATCAATTGGGGCTTAGAAAACACTGCTTTTTCTTCTGGTACCTTAAAGACTAGGATCAATCAGAGACATCTGTCCATATACCTGGCCCACACTGATATTTACATTGTTCATAATATGACTTAGGTTTTTCACAACTTATGCTATTCAATGTTAACTCCATATAATTTAATGTTAATAATCTTACCTGAATGCTTCACAAATTTCAGCAAGGAAAAGGCCTATATGCTTAAGTTAAATTACATATTTCCTCAAACACAGAAAAACAGCACACTGTGAGTCACAGACTCACCTTCTTAAGGACCTTGGCTGGTTCAGATGAGACCAGTTTGCTCTGGTTGTACAGGAAGTGTGAAGCTCATTTCTGCTCTTAGCCTCATTCCTTTAGTCATCTCATTGTTTCTTATAGTGACTGCAATTATGACCACACTAACCTCTACCATGTAAAATAGTTGCTGAAAAACATTTGCTGAATAAGGATTATATCTGCAATCCTAATTTCCTACTTCAAGTACTAGAATTTACTATATTGGTAATACAGTTTGTGAATTTCAAATTATGATCCTTCCTGTAGAACACGTAATGTTGTAATTAATATTGGCTTGATGTAACAAGTGAATTTGGGTGTGGGTATTTGTGTGAGTTTTAAAGATACAATGTCCATTTTACTTTTACTGTTTGGGCGGGATAACATTTTTCTGGACATCAGTGAATGAAATGGTGGAAATTCTTCAAATAACCTGATTTATACATAGAATATAATAAAATGAGCACAGATACTTAAGGCTTTAGAGGGTATTTGGAAGAAATAATAAAAAAATGGAGTAGTGTAGCTAAAAACCATTTGCGATTATAATAAAAGTCTACAACTAAAACCTCCGTACTCAGTGACCACATAACCATGAGACCCCAAGAAGAGTGATTTTGTTGTACTGAGGGCTCTAGTGATTTTGTTGTACTGAGGGTTCCTCTACATATCTGAAACACTGAGAAGGTCATGACAAAACTATAAGGGCAGAGACAAACCTAGCGATCAGAAAAACAAGCACTACTACAGTACCACTTAAAAAAAAAAACTCCAAACCACGTATTTTGAAAAGGCACACACTGAAAGTTGGCTGGCCAACTGGCCCCCAAATTCAACAACTGCCATTTGGTTCATATGCCAAATCTGCAAAGTCCATGTAATTCTCAGTGTGGTATTTACTCAAAGCAAATGTTTTACTGTTTTCACTTCTAAGAAAATAAAAAATTCAGAACTGAAACAGTCAATGCTATCTATTAATTGAGATTTCACATGTATAGGAGCAAACCTGTAAGACACAAGCATTGTTTGCAATGCAGCCAAGGAAGGACAGAAGAGATGGGAGTCAGGTTCAAGTCTGGTATTGATTTTTCTATATACTTTACAATGTGCTAGTGTTGTCTTTTTTATAAAACATCTACCTTAAATAAATGGCAAAGATTAAGCTTATGAAATAGTTTGTTAGTAACATCATTAAATTTAAAAAATTATACACAGAAAAAGTGTTAAAAAAGCTTATTCAGTCAATTAAAATCAAACTTCATTAGAAACTGACAAGAAATTAAGTTTTTTGATCTTTCTAGTTACAGATATGCTCAAGATTAGGGTAAAATTTCTGCTGATGGTATAGTGATTTATTCAATGACAATTAACCTGATACTTGTATCATGTTTTATATGAAAAGCACCTGGTTGATTTACATAGCATTCCACAGGAATCTACTGCCTGCAATCTGTTACCAAGCAAACTAAGGCTTATTTTTATCATGGTTAATTTAATCAAGCAAGATACAGAAGTGATATTATAATTTAATGTCAATGATTACAATGACATTTAAAATAGTTAAAAATTTATATTATAAATAAAAATCACCTGATAATTTTCTCATTGAAAAATTATTTTATCTATATAAATTAAAAAATTGATGCTACTATTTTTCTAAGCCAGGGGCATTATGGGAATGAGTCTGTGACACAATCCAAATACTTTTTATCTGTAAAACTAACTTCCCTCGAAGTTAGTACAAGCATTATTTTTACTTGATAAAAGTATGGATATTCCATTTAACAGCCACTGTCCACCTCACTGTAAAACTACTAATAAAGACAGAGGACAAAATGGAAGGAAATGGATGGGATGAATAGCGGATGCCACGGTCCTCCAGAATGTTGCATGATTTGCTTTTTTTTCTCTTAGGCTTTCTTGGACACTAGTTGGAACTAAACGCATATCAGTAACTAAATGATTTGTAAAACTGTACATTAGTTAAATTTTTGTTATGAGTGTATTTTGAAATACATCATGTTACTTGGAATACAATACAATATTCTGATTGCAATACAATACTTCGGAAACTTTAAAAGTTTTTAAAAGGAGACTTACTGTAGCTAGGACAGCCACATCCCTAGTTCAATCTCATTAAATATAAAAAGTTTATTTGAATTGAACTGGCTATAGGGTGGGTAATGAGCCATAAAAAAGTTCAGGCAGCATTTTTCTGTTTGCTTTAACAAAATAAAGAGCCACTCAAGGGTTATCTTTTATGATGTATGTGTAATAGGAAATACTACAATGGGAAAATTTCTTATTAAATGCAGACGAACCACAAATACTATTATAAAAATTAAAAAATTGAAATCCTCCTTATTTCTCCATTTTTTTTCTCTAAAGAAGAAATGAAACAGAATGGGAAGAAGAGGAAGAGGAAGATAAACAGAGGAAGAAGAAAAAGGATAAAAGAAGTTTGGCAGAAGAGAAACAGGTCAAAAGAAAATGTTTACAAAATGGTAGCAGTTGGCGGCATAATTTATTAGGCCAGGCAACAGGAAATCTCTACATGATTAGTAAAATTTAACACCTGACTCAGCTGTTCATACCCTCAGAGTCATAAAGCTTGGAGTACCAGGGACAGAGTGTAGAGATGGGGAATATTCAGGGTTTATGGAATCAGGAGAGAGAAATTTTTCAGCAGAATTAACAGTCATGTGATAGATGTGCTCAAAGTTGATCGGAGAGGAGATCAAACCGGAGTGATGATGAGGGGATGGATAAGGAAAACCTGGCTATCAAAAACAACAGAAAAGAAGAAAAAAGGTGATAAGGTGATGATGGAATCAATAAAACGTGTGACATTTCCGACAACAAGCATACAGAAAAGAACAAAGTAGTTTCTTACATCAGTACCAAATTCTTCATGAAACACTTTTAGGACTTAGAAAGTTAAATTTTGTAATCTTCTTGCCAGTCACTTAAGCAGCTGATCTGTAAACAATCCTTCTTATAAAATTATTCTTTTATTACTATAGTTAAGTGAGTAGAAGCTGGATTTTTAAAGATGCAAAAAAATTTTCAGAGTTTAATTTAGGATTTTCTTTCCCTTTTTTTTTGGTACCAGGGATTGAACTCGGGACCTTGCACTTGTGAGGCAGGCGGTGGAACCACTAAGCTAAATCCCTGGCCCTAGTTTAGGATTTTATCTTATGTGATACAATCAAAACATGACAAAAACCTACGAAAATCATTAAATATAGAAATACAGAAATATATCAAATATCAAAAAACAGTTAAAGCATCTACAGTGGCTTCTAACTAGATGTGTTATGAAAATTTCTTTAGAATCTAAAACCATTAAAAACATTTTCTAGTATTCTATATAAAGGCTTGTGATATGTGTTGGTTTTTATTGTTATCTCTCTACAACAAAAATAGTATCTATGGGATATACTAATTATTGGTTTACTTTTAAGCACAAAGTTATTTCCATATAGACACCTAAAAGAACAAGTCTGTATCAGGGAAAAGTCTTCCTTTCAATATTCAGTTTTGTTTTAAAAAAATGAAATAATGAAATACCAGAGAAACAGAAAAAAAGCCTTTGAAGTCAATGGTTCTTATTTTCTGATAAAGTAACCACTAGTAATTATTGACCACTTTTTCATAGTGGGATTTTTTCAGGTTCGGTTCAGGAAGAACTGTTTCTAAAAACAGGGCCCTTCATAGTAGCAGAGGGCGAACAATGTCCTGGAGAAAGTGCTGACTGAATCCAGCAAGGCATTTATGTTCTCATAGTTGAGATGAGCTTGCTTTGTAAAAATATCTCAGGAATCATCAAGGCTTAAAGGAAAGTCTCCCATACAAGATACTGTTTTTAGTTTAGAGATATGAGTAAATCACTATGGTACTTTCTAAGTTTTTCTCCAACAAAAACAGGGGAAAAGAGATATGTAACTTTGATTTAAGGAAACATTACTTGGGGAGGTTTTAGGGGTGGAACCCACGGCTTCGTACATCCTACACAAATATTTTACCACTGAACTATGCCCTAGTCCAAGAAGAAAAATTATTTCTGGAAGCCCTAGGAAAACATTGTACTTTATTTTATTAACCATACTAGGAGTGGATAAGATGTACTATGCTAAAAGTACAGAAGCAAAATATCATGTCTCCATCAATTAGAGAGAAAAACTGTCCTTTATCACTAGATCTTATAGAATAAGATAAAGGATAAAAAAAGTTTCAAGAAAACCAACTCAGGATATTTCTGTAAGACATACACACAAGCCTTAAATTGGTTATATTCTTTGGCTTACTAAGATACAAATAAATGGTTCATCTCTGATATAGGAGATAAAAAAATACAATGATTCCCTTAGCATGTGGCGCCTTCTACATTTAAGAAACAACAGAACATTATTTCAGGATTATTTCATATAAAAGAAATTGAATTAGCTTTTAAAAACATTTAATAAACTTTCTATGCTCGTATTTCACTGGAAAACAATACTGATTTGAGTAAGGTGAAACATAAAAATGGGGCACATGTTCTTTGCACAGGTGATAGATAACACACAGCTTCGGTACTTGAAAACTCTTAACATTAACAGATGAATTTAACTCATCTTTATTTTTTGGAAACTGTTCACAATTCCTTTTCAGTGGAAAGAATGTATCAAAATCTGAAAATACATACAAGATCATAAACTTTTCAATAAATAGATATGTACACAGATAAAGACAAGCATACTATTGTTATTATATTCAAACATGCATATTATTGTATTGTTTACCAGTATCTATCCTCAGATAGGCATGAGCCTGGGCAGACAAGATAAATGCTCAAGAAATACCTGTTAGGTAATTAAATGGGTATCTATTAAAACCCCAGCTCATATATCCTTTGGCAGTGAAATGAGAAAAATCGTGACTTTTCCATAACATGGCTGTGAATAACAGGAATTCTGACACATAAAATCTTTGATGCATACTACATGTCCAGATGAAGAAGTAAGTTTAAAAAATTTACAGCAACTTCTTAACCTGGAAATACAAAGGTGCTTACATGATCAGAAAACATTAAAGGGGTGGGAAGCACATTAAAATCTGAATTGAACTGCTAGTAAAAAAAAAAAATTCAGTGTTAACGCCTAAAAGAACCAATAAGGAGAACATGGCTTTAAAAAAATCAGGTGACAACAAATACTAAAAAATTCAGAGGGCTACTTAGAATCAGCAGCCAGCACAGAAGGTCACATGCTATGGAGCCAGGTAGGAATGAATCTTGGGGAAATTTCAATCCAAATTTGTTTAGTAATAAAAATATTTTAAATAAAAAAATACAGATTTCTTTTAAGTGGTACTAGAGTGAGGGGAGAAAAGTAAAGTTAAGGAGGGATACTTTGGCAAAATTTCTTACAATGTTTGAAATCTGCTATTTTAGTGTCAGGGTGCCTACTCTTATTGTGTATGAAGGTCTAAAACAACATTGGAACCTTAGCAAATTGATTTTCCATCTGACAGCAGCAGGACACCAAGCAGAGTAACATTTTATTAAACACTGTACTGAAAATATTCCATCTGAAGGAAAATACTGGTAATATGTGGGATAAAAAAATCTCTATTCCAAAAAGAGAAAAGTGGCTATTGTGAATGATCTTGACTCCATAAAGAAAGGAACATTACTATGACCATATAATAATCTCTTGCTGATAAAAAATAAATGTAAAAAAGCAGAGCCAGCTCATTAACTGGAATATTTCCAGCAAAGTACTCAGGCTCAAAAAAATGCAGACTTAATTTTTTCTTCCCATAAAAACAACATGCCCTTTAAAAGTTAATTTTTATGTTAAAAATCTGACTGCACATCAAACTATATTACTTATTATTTCTTGAAGCTCTTCTGTAATGTTGATAATATGGTTAATTTAAAACAGATTTCTTAAGAGATTTGGGTCAAGATGTACAAATCATCTCCAAATTGCCATTAAATAAAAATTATGCTTAAAATTCTACACAGAGTTTAATGACTGCATTGTTTAGAAAGATCATACTAAAGTTTTAATAGTTTGTAGTATTGAAATGTTAAGAAAAAGCAGAACCCAGATAATCAGCTAATTCCACTAATAGTTTTAAATTCAACATAATGGGTATGACAACACAATCCATACTGTTAAAACACAACGGTTTTCCTTTGTTGTATTTTTTATGTACAATTTAATAGGCAACATACTTGTAATTGGGCAAAGGAAAATGATTTAACTTCATTTAGCTGAGAGGCATGACTATTAATGACTATGCTAATTTGGCTCTCTTGGGAGAAAAAAGGCAAAATATCTGTTCTGAACTTGGTGAAATTTTAGTGACTTAGTATACAACCTCTTTAAATATGGTACTTTCTTCCATCAACAATAATTAATTCAGGAATGGGAGAAATTTCTAGGATACAGAAGAATTTGATTTGTTTGTTTGGTAGTAGGGATCGAACTCAGGTCTTTGCGCTTGCAAGGCAGGTGGTGGAAGATTTGTTTGGTTTTTGATGGATGTCTAAATTTTATGTTTTTCTGATCAAACATGTCTTTGTGCATCTTAAACATATTGTGACAGACTCAGAGAAACATTTTGTTATGTTAATATAGCCTGTGAAATCTATATACATATTCAAGACTATCCTCTCTCCTTTCTTCTTACCATGGGCAGGTCTTTCAAGATCTGTATTCCATCTCCAGGACCCATGTGTGCTATGTGGTTAAAATTAGTTGGGTTAGAGATTAATTTATTTCTCATTTCTGGATCTCGTAGCATCTCCCTGTAAGACAAACACCGGTTTAGAAACGTTTTCCATAATCAAAGTAGGTAACTTAAGAAAAAAATTAATCACTTTGTTTTTAGTTTTTAAAAATAAAAATAGAAGTTAAATTGTGTTAATTAGGATATAATTAGAATAATATACTCAGTTAATAATAATTTCCTCGGAATGTTTTGTATTTAGATTTTAAATAATATGATTTTGGATGGGAAATGAGAGTGGATCCTTTTATTTATATTTTTATTTTTTAGAGCTACAGATCAAACCTAGGGCCTTGAACATACTTGACCAGTACTCTACTACCGAACTACATTTCCAGTCCAAAAGAGTCCTTTTATAACACTATATATCAAGGAACTAATATCTGCTTTATTTTACAGATAATTCTGAACATTTTATGTATACATTTAAAAAAATTAGAAATATTTTTTCATGTAGTTGAGATGTGCTCATCAAGAATTACCTGGTATTCTTAAACATACACAGGTTTACTATATACACAAATATTTATGTTTATATTGTAAAAAGGTAAATATTTCTAAAATTCTAACTATTCTATATACATACAGAAGTGAATCAAAATATGGCATTTAATCCAGTGTATTCTCAAAACTTTGAGGATATTATGTAAAATGACACTGAGCGGTTGTATTCATTGTTGTGGATTTTTTGTGGTGTTCGGGACTGAACCCACATGGTATGTGAGGATGCTACCTACCACTGAGTTACCCCCATAGCCCTGCAGTTTTCAATCACAGATGAATGACAGATTCACACAGCTTCCTTCCAAATCAAACACAATATTCCCACTAGACAGTTCTTCAGATGCAGGAAGCACAGACAAATGATGAGTACAAATTAAACACCTACCTCCTCTGTTGCATCCTTTCTTCCTCTGGGACTCTGAAGGAATAACGTCGCTTGTTGTTGATATTTCTAACCATTTGTTTCCGACTATTATCTGATGTTTCAGGAACTACCAGTTCGTCCCCTTCTGTTAACAAAAACGAAACGGAGAATAATGGTGACATTTAAAACTGCTAAATACTTTTTGTCCATTAATTTCTGTGACAGTAGAATCAACTGAACAAGTATATGCAATTTTGACTTTTAAAAGTTATACATTGGCAAACAGTAAATAAGCAATAATTTTCAAGGGTGGACAGATGCATGCTTACATTAGACATAGCTTAAACATAAGATGATACAGTTCTGCCAGAAGAAAACTGTAGTTGGTGTTCTTTGACTTTGGCCACCTCACTTCTCATGCTTATCCTTTTTCTCTCCCCCTCAAGGCACTAGTTTCAGTGGCTTAGTATGTTTAAAAGCTGCCACTGCAGGTTTTTTTCTTTGTGTTGGGATGGAACCCACGCCCTTCAATGTGTTAGGCAAGTGCTCTGCCATTAGCTACACATCCCCAAAAGCTGCTGTTAATATGCACAATAATCAGACATACACGCCAAACTATTTATATGAATAATTAAAATTATCCTCACATAATAAAAATTCCTTGCAAGATTTAATCTATGTCATGTGGAATAAGGAATTGTTTTCACTGTCTCCCTTTATTACAGTCAAGAATTTATTGCTTTCACCCTCCTGACCTGTATTTAATGACATTTAACTGTGTATCTTTAGCAACTCAGTGACTACTTTGTCCAATTTCAACTTGCTTTGTAGCCCAGGCTGTGCTCAAACTCATGATTCTCTTGCTTCAGCTCTTCAGCACTAGGATTATAGGTGTGCACCACCACGCCTGAGTCTATCTCAGTTCTAATATTTAAGAGTAAATTGTCTATAATTTTGTTCAGATGATTGCAGAACCTGGAAAAACTGTTGCTGCTATTGATGCATAACATACTGCTATATTGGTCTTTTTATATAAATATAAA